TTCACTTACTTTATGATGACGAAAATTCGAGAACGCACTTTTTCAATTTGATTATTAAACGCGAATAGAGTAGATTTGAAGACTCATTCCTAAATGATCTCGAAGTTCCGAGCTGGATAGGTACCTAGCCTCAATATAGTTTGTCTTCTATTTGCCCCAAATTTAAAATTAATGTGACCAAAATTTATTAACAAATTTGTACCCATAAAATTAGAATTTTTACCCGCAATAATCATCGGAATCATTTGGAAATCAAAAAAATCTTGATAAATATGTTATTGTTTAGGCTTGATTATAGATATGACAAGGAAAAAAGGACGCAAAAAAGTATGGTATAAACTTAATAATAATTATATAGGGGCTTCTTCATAAAAATACTCGGACTCGTCGATTTTAATTTTTTGATGTTCTTTGAGGGTAAGTAGATACATGTATACCGGGTAGCCCACACCCATAAGTATATCTAATTTCATTTTGGAATAAATATAATGCTAAGTACGACCGAGGGCCGGATCTAACTTCTTTTTCACCCTCGGAACACCCTGTATATTTTATTCTCAATTTTATTCTAAAAAGAGCGAGAAAAAGAGGCATATTAAATTAAATTCTTTTTCCAAAAATAGCACACTAAAGGAAATTCAAAAAAATTAAATCTAGTTCAAAAAGATTCAAAAGATTTTTCAAAAAAATTAAAAAAATTTTCTAATTATTTGTATTTTATTATTTGAACCTTTTTAAATTTTTGAATTTTTTTTAATCACTTGTATTTTCAATATTATCCCTAGTGTGTTATATTTGTAGAAAGTAGTGAGTTTTAGTCCAGGCTGAGGACCAGGCCTCAGTCCAGGCTATAAGTACAATATTTTTTGCCAAAAAAATTATTTCCAAATCCAACCCGGGTTTTTTATGTAGGTAAAGTCGAGGGTAAAGTGATTCGAAAATGCAGCTCAATTTTTCAGCAGGCGAAAACCCGGACGTTGACGTTGAAAAGGATAGAAACTGATATTTTACTATTCGTGGAAAAGTCATTAATTTTATAGGCAAACATTTTCGGAGTTTTCAAAAAATTAACAAACTGGTGCCTATACTTTTTTCACATAACCTCAAAGTTTCCGAGAAAAACCGGAAAAACTGTTGCTTTCGTTTTCTATTTTTATTTTTGCGAACAAAGTCGCAGAGATCTGAACTCGGATCTGAAATTTGGAAGAAGAGCTTTTTCATGACAAAAAAGGAGACAATTTTTTGGGTCCGCAAAATTGGGCCGTTTTCGAGATATTCACGATTATGGAAAAATCCGAGGAAAAATCTATTTTTTTTCGTCGTACAAAGCTGCGTGGGCTCGTGCGTGGGGTAGCAAAATTTTCGCAAAGACTTACATTTTAATACCTAATCAAAAATAAAAAAAAATATTCCGATAGTAAAGTTTCGAGAAAAAAATCAAACACTGAAAAATAGCTTTTTCGATATACGTTTTTTTGATTCCCCGACCCTAGTGCACGCGCATCGTGCAGTTTATTGTCTTCTAGACGCTGCATGATTGTCAGATGTTTATTGCTTTCGGTTGTTATAATGCCATCTGATATTTGCATGTGGACCAACATTTGGAGTAGATAATTTGTTGCCATTGGAAAAAGGTTGAGTTTATTACCATCTTTTTAGATTCAAATAATAATACTCTCTTCGAGAATCCACGTACCCTTTGTAAGAATTTAAAAATATGTGCTATTGTTTGCGTCCGTCCGTCCGGAGCCACTTGTGTGGTTTTGAATTACTTTTAGGGGTATGGTATCTAGAGGTCAGCATTTTTTTGCAATATGTAGCCTATACATTGAAGGTGTGCCAGACGCCCACATTTTGTTTCCTGAAGAGACCCCCCCCCCCCCCCCCATGAATTATTTCCCGAGATGCTGTTTTTGAAAGTAAAGCTTCCACAACGTTTATAATGGACTACCAATAGGTCTCAGATTTTACATACGCATGCGCGTGCCCAGTAAAACTTTTGAAAATGAGGGGGAGGGCTCCTCTACTCTTCATGGTATTCTAATGAAAGGTCTCATCGAAATGAATTGGTTTGTATCGGTTTGTACTCGGGTTTGTACAAACCGAGGAACTATAACTTTCCCGCGCGAGTACTTTTCGAGATCAGTGGATGGTCATAGTACTCGAAAGGTCTCACCCGGTCTCAAAAATCCGAAAAACTCAAAACTGAACTCAACATGTGGGGGGGGGGGGGCGACGAAAATTGTTCACAAAATACCACAATTTTTATCAACGATTTCTTTGTGAGGTTTTGGGGTATTTCTGATCGAATCGACTTGAAAAAATCATGGGTATACCCCGAGTATAGCTCTACAGGTCATACGGAGGGTCATACCTACTCTCGTACCTACCTACAAACTGCCAAAACCTTTTTTTGTCTGTTTTTATCGAGGTTTTTACATTGGCACCTAAACAGAAGAGTAAAAAAAAAGTAGTCCCATCATGGAGTTACATTGGCACCGAATTGGCTCCGAGATTGGTACCAAATTATCGTTTTAAAAAAAAATTTAAATAAAAGAGTCAACATTTTCTATTAAAACACCCGAAAACACCTTCATGTTATTTTCAATAAGCAACATTCTGAAGGTCTTGGCCATTTAGAAATGTTTCTACCATGGTTTTGCTACATATTTTTGTACAATTTCGCTGGTGTCCAATGACAGTAACGAGGACAGTAACGGGAAAACCTACCTGGTGGTTATATTTGTATCTCCTCCTATTGGGCGAGCTAGGACCATCTTATGACCAACCGAGTGACCTACACAACCCGCATGTCTCTCACATAGAGTTATAACCGATCACAAGCGGGATCGAGGAGGAGGAGGACTATAATTATAGTTGGTAGAAATTAATTCCTTTCGTTGGGGCCTTTCATTAGAGTATCATGAAGGATAAAACCAGTTCCTCCAACTTCCTATTTTACTAGGCACCACAAAAGGCAAGTACGTGCAAAATCTGAGACTAATTGGTTATCTCGTGTACAAGTTATGCACGTTTTACTTGGAAAAACAGCATCTCAGGGAGTAAGGGGGCGCTAAGACAACAAAATTTGATGGCCGTGATCTTTTTCTTCGGAAACCACCCTAACACAGGTAAGTGTTAGGTAGGGTTTTGAATTGATACATTCAAATCGAAATATTTAAAAAAATACAGGGTGGTTCATCTGAAAGTTTTACGTACTTGAAGTTAGCCAGACTGATGACCGTGACCCTAACCATTGTGAAGAAAACTATCTTAGCTTTCTCTCAAAGCAACCGCATTGGTCTTTTAAGCTAGAAATTATTTTTTTGCGACTCTACAGATGTCTCCTGTTAGAAAAAAACAGTTAGCATTACGAACAATTCGATTATTACTTAATGTGTATCAAAAAATACCAACATGTGCACGGCGGCGTTCCAATTAAAAAACCCGAGAAAAAAACCTTCCGGCCTATAAGTACGTCCGACTTTTACGGAACACCCAGCATCTAAAAATAGTTTAATACTTCTCCTCTAGAAAATGCAATCTCAACCCTTTTCTTGCAGAAGCTTGACTCACCCTATTGTAAGGGTAGCAACTTAACGAATATTCTTCATTCAGCGGTTAAAGGGCAATTTCTGCACTTTATTATTTATTATTTTTCGAATACAAACTGTAAACGTAAAGTAGAAGAGGACCGGGAAATTTATTACTACATGCATTCGTTTAGAAAGACTGTCTGAATTGATACAGTATCGATAAGCAGGTGTGCTTTAACGTATAGAAATTAAACCGAATTTAACGATAAAGTTTAAATTTGTTGCGATTTATGCTCCTCAGTTCTTTAAGAACGTGCATACAAGCAACATTGATTGTAGAAAACGATTTATTTTCAACATTAATAAGAGGAAACTTGATTTGTATTTTCGCGTTTAACAGTGCTCTAGGTGCGTTTTTAAGTAGGTAAACAATTAAACTTGTGCACAATTGTAAAATTAAAGAGTGGGCTAGTTACCTATGTGTTTCTAAATACAATACAAGATGCAATCATATTTGAATAATCATATTTGAATAAATTTAGTGGTGTGTCAATTTTGTGTGTGGACTTTTAACTCAAAATTGCTTGTGGTGTGATGTGAATATATTCTGATAACATAAATGTGGACTATATTCTTTTGGCATAAGAGTTCTTTGTGAACGGAAAATATTTTTCATCTGTAAATGTACCAGAAGTCCTGATGGAAATATGGATCAGTGCTGAAAATATGGTAAAAGTTGTAAGTTGGCAATATATTTCGACAAATTGTAACCGATCTACGCTCTTGTAAAGGTAATAAGTTACAACAGCAACTTACAGCTCTGGTGCAGAAACATTCTTCTTCCTAATATGGGCCATGGGGTCAAAATTTTTGGAATATTCTATGAATATGATTAATTTCGGAGTGTCACATGGTCGCCGGCCACAACGTAGTGCAAATCATAAGATTTATGGTCGCCGCACTAAACATAAAACAAATGGACCGCATAAATTACGTACTTTATAGCGGTTGATATTTCTCGAGGAGTCGATAAATGAAAGATTTGAGCAACATTTTTGAAAATGGAATGATGCCTAATCGAATTTAAAACAGAATTTTGTACAGGTACGCTAGTTATCTCGACTAAGAAAACAGTCTTGGCATTCGGCCTGCCACATAGAGCGCAACGCCTGTTAGAAAAGCACAACACGTCAAAATATCTGAGCTTTCATTTCAAACTACATATAAAAATACAAAAAAAAAACTAAACGAGACTATTTCAAGATGTTCAACTTGAAAACGATTTTTGACACCTAAATATAGTTACGATTATGTCCCCAAAATTTGTTTGGGAAATCTCGAGGGAAACGTTTTAGCATCTTAATGACATTCTTAAAACAGGTTGGCAGCGGCTCCTTCAGAGAGTCGAAGAAGACGAAGCCAAGGTCGCAACCGAATCCACGTGTGAAGCATTTAAAAACTCACCTGGTAAACAAATGCGACTCCAGTGATAGGGATTACAGCAAATATAAACAGGGTCAGTGACGGAAGAGCACGTCGGCAGACGTTTCAGCTGTCCACTTTCGTGCACTTCAGGCCATCGCCAGGTCCGGCAACACAGCACGTGCGGTTGATTATCCGGAGGTAAGAGGACGCAATTCGAGGCGTCTCTACCGCGACTATCCACGGCCGTACAGAGTATTTCTAATTGATCATAGTTCAATTTTTTGAGTAGGCCTTTGGCCGCTTCCTCAAACGTACGCGAGGTTTCATCGCTTCGCCTCTTTCGTGCCTTCTCCAGCCGCCTAGTCAAAGAACTCCGTCTCTTCCTGAACATAAACATGTAAAAACAGGATTTGGTTTCCGCGCCGGTCCAGCATTTGGGTGCCACTACTGTTACTGTTACCAATTTAATTAATCACTCACCTTCCACACAACAAAAAAATCACACTCCGATTTAAAAAAGCCTTAATCACACATAGACGACCACTGCACTCATTTCACCTTATCCAAGAGCGATTATTGCAATTTATAGGAAAAAGTGTTCGATTTTATTGCCAACTGATTTAGGATCGTGGAAAAACTGAAAAAACGACGACCGGTACCTATTAAAAATCATACAAGAAACACAACATACATCCTCAGCGTTTGCGTTCGAACTGAATGCAGAACGGCAGATTGTATACGAAGGAGATGGTTCACAAATTTGCCGCTAGAGACGGTGTCGTGGGGAAAACCTCTGGCGCCGGCGACTGGCGTACGTCAGGGCCGGACTTCGAACCGCTACGATATACAAATAAAAATTATTGTTGGAAATTGAGAGAACTTCCAAAGCCAAAATTGTTCGGCTGCGAAAATTATGGTCTAGTTTTTTCCAGGCCGTCGAACACGTCTTCTTCGTGAAACTGTAATAAAGGATTCCGATCTCGAGACTTACGCCGGGACTGAAAGGTCACCTACTTCCTCCAGGTGTTAAATTGAAATTTGATTTGAACCTCATCTACCCCATTTATCTCACGATTTGGGGAATCACAGATAAATACAATGCTCCAGGTGAGGAAAACACCGACATCCCTTTATTCCGGATTCTGTCGTTGCAGTGATTAAACCCCCCCATTGATATCAAGACATGAAAGTCTTCAGCACTAGTTTCATCCGGGAGGTGAATAATTATCATTCATTTACACCTTGGCTTTTGACGTTCCGGCACTTGCGTCAATTTCCTGAGTTTCTGGTTGAATTCATCTTCTAGTGACACTTTCGATTCGTTCGGTGAAAACAGACCGACTTTTCTTTGTAGATACCTACGTTACGCTTGATTTCGGTACAGGGTGCTTTAAGTCCTTCAAGACATAATGTACATAATTTAAGAGGATCGTAAGCATAACGAAAGTAATTTAAGAATTAAATCATATCTTCGTCAGGTTTTTAAGGAGATATGTAGATCCGATATTATATTTCATACCTAAATTTTATGAAGACCCTAAATCGAAAGATAGTAGTTGGAAAGTAATTATTTCCAGTTGTTTCCGTGGTGTAGTGGTTATCACATCCGCCTAACACGCGGAAGGTCCCCGGTTCGATCCCGGGCGGAAACACTTTTGCTTTTCATTTTATAACAAATTAATAATTGTTTATTTTTTTTTATTTATTATCCCTCTCTTGCTCTGGGCCTTCAACAGGCTGGCGATCAATTACAGAGTGACCATCAGCATAGTGCTTTTTAGAGGTGCCTCTGTTCGAATAACGTTAAAACCTTTCAACATAAAACCGGACCAGGTTGATTCACCCGAAATTGTGAATGAATGCGTATTAAACTTATAAGAAAAAGCCACTTCGTGACTATTTGTTGTTGGTCGCAATTTTGAGGAACCGACAAGTCCTTCTTGAAATCGTGTGGTTGTCGATCTGTCAGTTATCGTCAGTGGCGTTACAATTACAGTTTAAACTATCTTTCAATTTATTTCATAACTTTAATTAAAGATTTTTGTCATTTGTAACTTGTTAGGGGACTTATTTTAAAACCGGTGGCGACGTTACCCGAAAATTTCCCAAGAACGATTCTTCCTACACTCGAAAGTCACATTCATGTACCCAACTAAGGGCAACAGACATAAACTGATACGCCTTAATAAAGGGCTCTAACTTCTGTATACTCTCAACACATTATTAATTGCTTTTCAACATATATCTATATTGTGGTGTAAACTACAGGGGGGTGTCGTTTCTCTAGGTCGAAAACATGCCAAAAATGAGAGCGAGCCGCGCTGTAGTGAAAATAAATACGTGTTGTTAAGGTAATTTCGGTTTAAGTATTGGAAATGTAAAATAATTCAAGTTATTTAATAACATCTGGAGATTTTTATTTTAAATAGACACGGAATTGAAAAAATTGTCAGTTTAATGTTAGTTATTTAATTTTAAATGTAGTCAGTAATTGTTTAATTTATTTAATTCTTTTTCTTGTATTTAGTGTGTATGATAAGTTTAAAACGCATAAATATGGGAACATGTAAAGGTCGTTTTTCAATAATTAGTTCTCATCAAGCCAGTTATTGATTACCAAAGCTATGTGTTAAATAAATGTGAGTTATAAAAGCTGTCAGATCTCTGTAAAGTGTTGATTCGCCGTTCATCGCGTTCCTCATTTCCTGACCAGATAATTTATGTATTAATTGTTTAGATCCCTTAATTTGTTTTTAAATCGACCGTTTTGCAAACGGGCTGGGTGTATTTCAAAAAAGCCCTGTTAGCCTTAAATTTTTCTTGCAGGTTTTCAGTTTAATTTTGTTTTCATGATTTATGTCAGAATAAATGTTTGTAATTTCTTTTTATTAATCAATTGTGTCAATTTGAATCCCAATTCGAGAGCCAGGTAGTTTTAAAGTGGATTGTTTTATGTTGGCGCGACGAGGGGGGGGGGGATTACTTTTCATGGCGCGCATGTACGCTAATAGAAGGCAAGCCATGAGAACTAACGTGTCCTCCACATAAAATATGTTATTTTCTCTTAAAACTTACGCATATTTAATATATAATATGTAATGATACATTTTTAAAGGATATTAGTGGCGTTTGTTAAATTAAACGTCGTTGTCAAATATAGTGGCCAGTGGCGTAACTGTGTATTTTTAGAAGCGGTGTCGGATCAGGTTTTGGCACCCTACCATATTTTGGCGCCTTATTAGTTAACATTGAGCTCTAATTAATAAAACACTGTCCATTTTTGAGAGAAACTTTACACGAAATTTTAAAAGCACTGCACTCTTTCAAATTTACACACAAATTTTGCATACTTACATTTTAAAAAGATGCTTTCACTCAATGAAGAATAGAAATACATTTATTTATAATGTTTTCAATTCTCGCGTCAAATTTAGCTATGCCATGGGGCACAAGTCGTAGAAATGATTGCGTGCAAATGCTGGTCACACTAATGCAGACTATTGTATAGATCACAAATAAAGTATTATTATTATTATTAGTTTAAATTTTCAGCCTTTTCCTACCTCTGTAACTTTGTTCTACAAGGGCTATTCAGAAAGTAACAGACGTTTTGAAATAAAAAATTAAGAAAGTGTAAGAAACAACTTTTATTATATACATTTGGAAGCTACACTCTTAGGCTGTTTTTCAACATCCATATTGAGGCACTTAACATAGCGTGGTAGTGTTTTGATTCATCCGGCGTCTGTGGGGGCAGAAGTGGGTACCGACAAAGCGAATGTGGTAGCCCTCGACAAGATCTTATTGATTGTGGAGTCAAAACTGGCTAATAAAAGTACTGAAAAAATCATTTTAATTGTTTTTTCGTAATAACAACGCCGTCATGTTAAAACGACGGACGTTTCGCGACACTTTCGAAGCCGGGTAGCAGTCGTGTTAATACTGGCCGTTCTTTTTACACACAAATCGGAAAGGAAATTGAATAAAAACTCATAATTTTGTGCGTAAGAAAAGATGAGAACATATAATAGTTATTTACATAAAAGTTCGGAAAATGATGCATTACTGGTGAGGAAATATTGAACTGCGAGGCCCCTCCAGGGCCGTGTACTTTAATTTCCGAGTCAAGTAATCTCATTTTACTGCCGAGTTTTGTATTAAATTTTACCCAAAATCGTATTTTAATATAAAATTTCAATTTTTATATAGAACTTTTGATTAATGCCAATCTGTCAGTGATGACAGGACAGGAGTCATTATAGACGTTTAGTAATGTCACAGATGCGGTCGGTAAAGTGACGATGCGGCCAGTAAAGTGACAAGTGGCAGGAAACGTAGTCTGCTCTACCTCTGTTATGGAAACTAAAATTTCCTGACAAAAAGTAGGCATGAAAATGAAAGTTTCAGGACGATTTTGTGTAATAGTTATTTATGTATTAAGGGCATAATAGTGATGTTTATATTCTCGAGGGCGACGAGTTAAAAAGCTCGAGGGCCTATGGCCCGAGAGCTTTTTGGTCGCCCGAGAGTATAAACATCAGTTTATGCCCGTGGTACATACACAATTTTATGTTTTACAAATAGTTTTCTTCGTCAAAATTCGTTTACAAAATAATTCATTATGTTTGATCGAGTATGCGTGGTTCGAATTTGTTAATGTGATTGAAACCATCCAAACGTCAAACGTAATTTTAAGTAATTCAATTCATCGTGAATGAGCAAGAATTTCCAGAAACTATACGAAATAAGGCCAATCTTGTGATTTAGTAGATATTGACAATTAATAATTGACGTTTCTAATTTTCAATGACCTGCAAATATTTGTTTGTTTTGTCATTAAGTATAAATGAGTTACTATGGTGATACTTAATGCCCTAGGGCATAAAGTGGTACTTTATGCCCGCGTATCACAGATATAAAATGTGCTATGATAGGTTAGTAAGACATAAAATATATTACGCACACCAGGCGATGTCAGGGAAACCTTCGACCATTAGAACATTCGTCAAAAACAGAATTGATGACGTGCGCAAAAATCCTACGTTAGGTAAGTTTGTCTTCCGTTTCATGGATAGTTATGGGTGCTGTTTCTTTGGTAACTCAGTAACTAACCTAATTATTCAGAGAAAAATTAAATTGTTGTGTTTCCATAATAACACTCTTCCCTCCGAAGACCGGAAAAGGAAAAGTAACAATGACCTAATATTTTGACATTTGAAGAAAATTGTTTACGAAAGGACGAGAAGTGAGTTTTCGCTGACAAGTCAGAAATCCCAGGCTAAGAACTCTTCCACTGTCACATAATTTTTATTAGGTACTTTATCGAAGAAATAAAATTGTTGGTTGACTTTCGTCAAATGTCATATTTTTTTTTTAATTTCCCCCTTGGACAAATTGTGGCTCTGGATATCCAAAGCTACAACATTTCCACTGATACAAACACATCCACACATTCCATAAAAAAATTTTAGAGATTAGGTAGTGGAAAGGTCAATTTGTAGAAAAACTTTTTTTTTAACTTAAGTAGTTTCTAGATCTGCAATAAAATATGACGTGTTCCATTTCAAAACATGGTTGTTTGGAATACAGCATGCCACCGGTGTATTTTAGAAACATGGCGACGATAATATTGTGCATATGACCTTTTCGGTATCTTCTATTGCAAAGGAATTACGATTCGAGGGGTCTTTAATTCCTACACCCTGTATATTTTGCTTTATGAAGATATAGTCCAAAGT